CCCCAAAAAAAAAAGAAAGAAAACCCTCCTCTCCGTCGCCTCTCCGGTTATTTTACTTTGCCTCTCATGTGCAAGGCTTTGCCATGTATGTGTGGTTCAATGGGAGGTGCCTTTACGGCACTCCTGTCTTCAGTAACATCAGACCTGTACGCTATGGAAAAGGATGATAGAGACTTGTACGCGCCTCTTCTCGTCACATTACACCCTTTTCCTCTGCTTTCCTTTTCTTCCCCCTGCTCTCGACGCTGCTCACTGCTCTCTTTGTCTCTATTGCTGTCTGCATCTCATCCTTCTGTTTTGAGCATTCTTTCACTGGTGTTTCTGTCTCCCTCCCTTTTGTTCTCTCAGCTCGGCCATGGGACGTACTCGGCGAAGATCAATGCAATGCTCACGACCAAGAATCCGCGGCTTATCGTCGACTTGGGCGATCTGCGAACCTTCAACCAAGACTTGGCCAGAAGGTATTTCCTGAATTTCCAGATGCTTTACAGCGTGGCAGATCCTCTTCCTCGTGGCATTTGCTGTGTCTCAGCAAACGTCGAGTCAGTCGTTCATCCATTACCCAGCCACATAACGTCGATGAAGCTATATTATGTAAACCTTCAAGGCAAGAAGTCCTTTTGTCAGGAAAGAAAAGAAAGCCCGTTTGTCACTTGCATGCTGGCCCAATATTTACACAATATTTAACAATAGATGTATGGCACTGGTTCATCTGCTTGTCAAGGGGACTACCGTCTTCCCCCAAATAGAACGTACGGTCATTATAGCTGCATTTGCTGTAAGTTTCTGTCTAGATACGGTGATAATGACCGTGCTTTCCATTCGGAGGGAAGACAGTTGGTGTGCCGTCGTCCTCAGAGGACGAAAGATCCATTTCTCAACCACATTGCAGATTCTTGTGCTCTGCTTGAATAATCAGCCCTCGGTTGTGTCCCACTTCCCTGGGCCTCGGTTGTGTCCCACTTCCCTGGGGCTTAACAGGGTCCCAGTTGCCAGCACGGTTCCATGCTAAGTGAAATTACCAGCTTCCCTGTGATCATGCAAGGTAAGAATCCCCCTTTCTCGCTCTCCCCCTTGCATTCTCTCTCTCTCTCTCTCTATCTCTCCCCCCCCCCCCCTCTCTCTCTCTCTCTCTCCTTCTCTCTCCATCTCTCTCTCCCTCCCACCACCTGCTCCCCGTCCCTGCCCCTGCCATGTCCTCTCTCAATTGGTTGTGCTTGCACAGTCTCGTCATTTATTTGTAGGGAATGCTTGCTGGATCATGGTTGCAATACCGAGATAAGGGCTGTCTCGTCATCATTGTTGTGGCTTCTGCATCCACCACTTTGTGCTAGGCAACTGAAGAAACGCCAGTTTCTACGCGGCATGTTTGTAAGCAATGAACTCCTGATCATATGCGAGGCAGCTTTGGTGATGAGCACTCTACTAAGTCGTTAAGCCAGAAAGGATAGCTTAGTGTTGTAGGAGGCAGGCATGCCTTGGTGATCTAGTACATGGTATGAAGCAGTTTAGGGCATCGTCATACTAGGCCTTTTAGGACAAGCCACTGGACGTGATTGCTGTCAAATTCGGCGAGATCTGGTCATAATTGCAGTCAGATGCATTCTGGAAAGTTCTTGTGTGAGTATTACCTTAGGCTCTTTAGAGGTTGTAAAAGCAATAGGAGTGACGCAAGCAGTATGGACGAATATGCTGCTGGCTGGATGGCACACAGCTGTAAGGGTTGAAGGACTTGAAATCTCAAAGCGTGGTGTTGCTGGTTCAGCACCTGGACACCGTCCTGATGTATGTACACTTCCAATCCGCAGACCAATCAAACCTCTGGATCTGCTCTGGACCAGGGTGCCCAAAAATCTTTTTTTGTTTTGTTTTTTCAAGCGAAAACAGCCCTTTGCGGCCCTAGTCACGTGCACAGGGGGGGGACTGCTACAGGCCTCTTATCACCATTTCAATGTCTTCCATTGAAATGGGCGGTTGAGGAGATGGGAGAGGGAAGGGAAGATAGGAGAGGAACGGCCTTTACCCTTGCGGCCCTAGTCACGTGCACAGGGGGGGGACTGCTACAGGCCTTTTATCACCATTTCAATGTCTTCCATTTTAACTAGCGTGCTCCTAATAGGCTAATACTCTATTTCTTGTTCCCGCCCATCGGGCGTTTGAAAAGCATCTGTTTTATGTACATAACACTTCTCAAGTCTCTCTGGCTTGTCCCTTCATTGTTGCCAAAAGTATCTATTTTGTATAGGGAATCTAGCACTCTTGTCTCTCCACCCATGTCTCTCTACTTTTGCCAAGAGACTAACAGGCCTTCTGGCTGTTCTATCCTATATCTACACCTGATTTCCCTCCATATTTCGTCCATATCCTCTTTTTCCTGCCCGTTTCTTCCTTTATCTACTAGGATTTCTCCACTTCATGTTTCAAAGTTCAACTTGCTTTTACTGTTTTTCAGTTTTTTAAAGATTTTGTCCCCTCTTAGCTCCCAGTTTTTAATTTTTCTCCGCCGTGAACTCTGGGTTTGATTTCCCAAATGAACCTCAGTGAAAAGTCACTTGTAATATTTGTATTCCAATCTTTAGTACTTACAGTATATATTTGAACGGTATATGTTGCAGAGGTTGGAATATATATTATATATGTATATATACATGCATATTTGTTGTATACAGAAGGAGAGTGAGGAAAGTGAATGGTTTAAGTGTGCTCTTCATGTTTGTCTTGTGTATTTTTATTTTTATTGTTTATTGCACAAAGTGCACTCTTTTAGTTCATAGATATGTGACTATGTATATTGTCAAACAGGGCTGCCCGGTAAACCGTAGGCAGAGAGGGAAGGAGAAGAGGACAACAAACGAGGGGCTGTGGCAAACTGTTTTATCGGAGTTTCACCAACTCATCAGGAGGCTATGTATGCGTATTTTTCTCCCTCTCTGTGTAGGGTTCACCGGGCAGTTCTCGATGACGGTATCGGAGTGATAGTCTGTCAAACTTGAGTGCAGTGGGTGATGCCCACTTCACGGTATCAGTTGTCGGGCATTCTCCAAGCCATGCTGCCAGTGGTGTGTGTGTGGAGTGTATTTTCTGGCTGGGACATAACTTTCCTTTTTTCCTGTGTTTTTTGCTGGCATGTCGTGGATGTGAACCTTCAGTCTGTAGAGTCTTCCCTCCCTCTGGTGTGGCTGAGTGATAGTCTGCTTTGAATTTTGTCACGGCTACTCTTGAGGGCAGAGGTTGGTGCCCACCTCAGGCTATCAGTCATGGGGCAGTCGTTGATGCTCAACCGCAACCGGGGTTAAGGTTGACTGTGACTTACAGTATCATTGTTTAGGGGACTTTGCAGACTGAAGAGGGTTCATCCTGTCTCTTATACACATCTAGATGTGTATAAGAGACAGGAGTGATAGTCTGCTTTGAATTTTGTCACGGCTACTCTTGAGGGCAGAGGTTGGTGCCCACCTCAGGCTATCAGTCATGGGGCAGTCGTTGATGCTCAACCGCAACCGGGGTTAAGGTTGACTGTGACTTACAGTATCATTGTTTAGGGGACTTTGCAGACTGAAGAGGGTTCATCCTCGTGATGAGTAGGTGAAACTCTGACGAAAGAGTCTGTCACGACCCCCTGTTTCTTGTCTTTTCTCCGTCTGTGCCTACAGTTCAGTGGGCGTTTCTCAGCGACTATGGATATTGTCACCTCGACCAGCCACATTCATGATGCGAAACTCAACTTTCAGAGAATGGCGTTCATCGCAAATCAAGAAGTGGACTAGATGCCTTTTTCTGTTGTTTGCTGACACCTCCTCTTCCAAATAGTCCAGAGGGCAAATAACAGGAAGATGGCAACTACCTATTCAGGAAGCTTGCAACATCTACGAAAACCTCCTAGATACCGACATATGGGCAGAATCGAAGAGGGTGTGCCAAAAGATCATGCAGAATCAGACGGGGAAGCCCAGGAGCTCAGAAACCGTTTCGAACAGACGGCACTAGGCCAAGGAAAGGTGGCAGCCATTGACGGGTCCAGATTACTATGGGTGGCCATGATTGGGTAGCCGGAGGGCATAAAGGGTTTAGGGTTAAGGGTACGCGAGTGGGTCGCCGGGGAGTGCAAGGGTTTAGGGTTTAAGGGTACAAACCAGGGAAAAGCTGAGGGGAAGGTTTTCAGTGGGTTTTGCTCCAGGGTACATGGTTAACGGGAAGCCGCATTGCTTTTCAAAGAGTATGGGCTTAGTTGGCAGTCGTCAAACAATACGTCATTGAGGTTAACTTGGGCAGGGGTGAGGGGTGGTACATCCTTCCTCAGGGAAGTCGTCAATGCCGTCCACTCGGGGTTCTCAGCCATAATGGGGAGGAGCGTGCGTGAGTAACAGATGTGTTCCTTGTAACTTGCCGGTGGAATGGGAACGAGACTGATGCTTAAAAAAAAAAAAGTAGACTAGACAAAGGAAAAGAAGGAAACTAGAAGGAAACTAGAAGAAGAAGAAGAAGAAGAAGAAGAAGAAGAAGAAGAAGAAGAAGAAGAAGAAGAAGAAGACAAGAGTAGCTCAAGGTCTCTTCTCCTCTTCTATCTCCTCCGTCATCATCATCATCCTTCATGAGCTACTGCTCAATGAATGAGCAAGAATCAATGTCCAAAAGAACTCCCTTTTATGCCTCCCCGCTCCCCCTACACCATCTTGCTGAGCTGAGAGCTACGGCCATTCGTCCTGGCCATGCTTGGGTGTTCAACTGACAACGCAACTGCCTCCTATGCGTCTCTCTCCTCCTACTGCCATAGCCAATCCTCTCATTTGAAGTCCCAAGTCCAGCCGGCCCGTGCCAGGGGCCTTCCTGATATAGCACCGGCAAGGTAAGGAAGATGAAGGTTCCTAAGCGAAGGTAAGTCTTCCTCTTGGTTCCCTCCCTCTCACCTTCTATTCTCCTCCTGCTAACTCCATAGCCCGCCTGGTATGGACCTCTACTACATACCCCCTAGGCTAGGCGCTTCCCTCATCTCCACCAGACCCTGGGAGCTTTCCACCATCGCAGCCGAGCTCCTTCTTTACCACCTAGTTGCTCCGCCTCTTCGCCCTCGTGGTGGAGCAGCAGCATGGCTGCCAGGTGAATCTCCGGCCGGCCTACTGAAGTGCACCAACAGATGTACTTGGGACTCTCGGCCTCCAGCACCTCTATTCTGGGTACTTCCTGCCTTTACCAATGCACTACCGTCTTCAGCCGAATATATTGTAGCTATATTTTGTGCAACTTCCAGACTAGATACAGCGATAATGTCGGGGCGTTCTATTTGGGTGAAGACGGTAGGCCTACCAGAAAGTTCCTGCCTTTTGGCAGGATCTTCATTGCAGTCCTGCAACCTACGCTCAGGGCCTGAATCTCACCCGATATCTGCCTGCATCCGGGGCGCTGGACCACATGATCCTTTCGGAAGCTAGCGGACTTTCTCCTGGGCTCACCGGACCTGCCTGGGCCTACCCGAGTTTCTGGAAAATGCGTATCTATTGGATCCCAGACGTATTCTACAACTATCGCTAGCCTTCTATCATTTCTGGTTAAGTCCTTCTGTAGTCGAACTGTTGAAGTACAGACCTGAGTTGGGATCCAGGTGGATTAGATGAATGAAATTATGGGCCTGGTCAGTCCCACGTCGATATCTCAAGGCTGTCCCCCTTTTAAAAAGAAGGTCACAGAAAAAGAATGGAAAAAAAAAAGGAGGAAAAAAGGGTGAGGTGAGTGGTGGCAGCAGCGTATGCTGATTGGACTCTGCAGCAAAAAATGCTTGCAGCAGTTAAACAAGGCATACAATCCTCAGAAGGCTGAAGATGACATAATTCCTCAGAAGCACAAATGCTGATCACACTGGTGGCACACTCCTGTGGCTGTTGAAGAATACGTTGAGAAATTTAATGGTCATTCAAGATGACCACAATACACATTGGATATGCTGAATAATTGTTTTTCAATTGGTGATCGACAAATCTTGGAAAATGTTTGGCAAACAGCTTAGGGTTCAGTATAGATAAGAGAGCTGGGATTTGGCCGCCGGCGTTTTATCTTGCAAAGTGGCGCAGTCTGCAACATATAAATGCACCCCGAAAAGCTTTTGTGTCGGCTTCATTATCCTCACAGACAGCAATCATGAAAGCTTCCCGAACTGAAAAAAACTATCATGTACTCTTACTTGTAATTTTTTGAATGAATCAAATCAATGTGGAAAGGAAGTCGCCCATCTTCCTTCTGTTCTGTTGCAGGTCGCTCCTCATGCGACACAATTGTGTTAATTGAAATAAACTTTTCGAACATCATTTCAACTGAGGCCTTCCTCCTTCGTGTCACCTCGAAGTTCGGACTATATTGAACTCAGTTGGGATTTAGCAAAATAGTCTGGGGCTGTCGTCTTTCCTTTTGTGGACTTGTGTATCGGAAACACACACACACACACACACACACACACACACACACACACACACACACACACACACACACACACACACACACACACACACAC